AGGAGGAGGAGGAGGAGGAGATGATGATGATGATGATGATGATGATGATGATGATGATGATGATGATGATGATTTTTTGTAGTACTGGAGATCAAACCCAGGGCTTCTGTATGCTAACCAAATGCTCTAACGATACACCCCAACTTTCAACCTGCTCATTATTAACCACTTAGCAGTGTACTGTGGCCATCACTCAGGCAGCAAATGTGTTTATACACTATCCTAACATCAGTCAGGCAAGTATCATTTCAACCAGTCTAGTCATGTATTGAATAAATTTGATAGAACTGTCATTTTCATATTTCTTGTTATATTATTTATAAAAATTAGCCAAAAAGTAGAAACTTTTGGTCATCCTGTATTTAAATAACTGGATAAATGGTTAAAGTCACACATGGAATTCAAACTGTTCCAGATTTTTTTTCTTAGGATCCAGCAGGATCCAGCTATTAAGCCCATACTCTTCCCATTACACCATGCTGCCTTACAAAAGATGGACAAAGATTCTATGTAGGTACCAGACCAGTTGAAATCATTCCCTATAAAGAACTCTGCGATCTTAACACCTGGCTTACAGGATTAAGCTTGGTTTTCTCTCCCAGTCCTTCTTCTTCTGGTAACTTTGAATGCATCCAGTAGAATCGGAAATCAGTCTGCCACCAAGAAAAAACATAGAAGGGTGAGATATTGCTCATCTTAAACTCTAACATGAACAAATATTCTGTACAAAGCCCTAAACCCCCTTTTTTTGCAGTACTGGAGACTGAACCCAGGATTTCACATATCCTAAGCAAATGTTCTACCATTGAACTATATCCCCAGCACTTTTTCAATTTAATTTAATTCAATTTAATTATTTATTTTTTTGTCTTTTTGAGACAGGGTCTCAATATGCAGTTCAGGCTGGCCTTGAACTCACTTTATAGCCTGGCTGGCCTCGAATTCTGTGATCCTCCTGCCTCAGCCTCCCAAGTGCTGGGATTAAGGCATGCACCACCATGCCTGGCTCAATTTTATTATGAAACAAGATCTTGCTAAATTGCCTGGACTGATCCTGAACTTGTGATCCTCCTGGCTCAGCCTCCCAAGTATCTGGACTTACGGGGGTATGTCTCTGTACCTGGTAGTCCTAAGACCTTCTGTCATTATCCCATTTCACTTAAAGCCATAGGTGAGGAAGAAGTTCCTCAAAAGACTTTTCCTTAAACCCATCAGGATTACAAATAGCAATAAAGCCAACACCTGTCACTGAAGATGTTCTCTGTGCCAGGCTCCATGTGTAACTGAGTTCATCTCCAGCCCTCTGTGTGCTGCAGCATTCTTACCTCCATGTCACAGTGAGGACTCTTGAGGGCCACAGTAGGTGAGTCACTTTCCTGGGTACATAGGAAAACTAGGCTTCTTCAGCCCCTAAGCACACTGTATCAGCCCCTTTCCTTTAGAAACTACTATGTACTTGAGACTTTACACAACCTACTTTATTATTTGACTCACTGCTGTATATCCTTACATAGTTATGCACAAAGAATTAGCATATCACATTAGCAAACAATATTGTCATTACTTTGCTTTTGAGTGAGGTGTGGTGTGTAGGTCTGTAATCTCTGTACTCTGGGGGGCTGAGGCACAATTATAAATTCAAGCTGGGTAACTTAGCACCTTAGTGAGACTCTATCTCAAAATAAAACACTTAAAAAAAGGCAAAGTGAAAAAAAAAAGGCTAAGTAACGGAGGAGTTATATCATGCATAGGTACAAATTCTCTATGACAAATGTGATCATTATGTATACATAAGTGCACCAATAAAATCTGACTAAAAAAAGGTAAGTATATAGTTCAGGGAGGATGGCCCTAGACTCAGTCTCCAATACTAGAAAAAACATTTGTTTTTCTTTTGGAAGTTAAAAACACATAGTCTTTCCCCTACCTTATGCAACCATAAGTAGCTCTAGCTACTAGACTCACAGGTTGTGAAGGCATGTGCTGGAACACCCTCAAGCAGAATGAAAGGGAAATGCGCTGGGTTGACCTGCCAGGCTGAGGGCCTGCTCTGCTGTTGGGCAGGGACCTTAAGCTCTGCACTCAGCCTCTACAGATAAAAGAGCACACCAGTTACCATGCTGGCCACAGGGGCTGCTGTGGGAATTTAGTGCAGTACTGCCCCAAAGCACTAGGCAATGCAGATCCTGCAGCTTAGATCGGATGGCGTTAGGGAAAGAAGTAGGCCAGGCTGACAACAAGCTTCTCCCCAGCCTTCAGGTTACCAGCAGACTGCTTAGAACACAGACCCCATGGTCTCTAATTCAATAGGGTTGACAATGTGCATTTCTAACAACTATCTGCCATGCCTAAGGCCATTTGAGAAACACTATGCTAAAGGAAATGCAAAACCCAGAGCTGCCAACAGCCCTGGGCTAGGCTGAGCAACAGTTGGGGGAAGACGGGAACTAGAGAGGGGGGAAAGGCTCCTAGCTGGGACTTGGGGGCACATGCCTGGAATCACAGCACTTGGGAGGTTGAGGGAGAAGATTGCTGAGGAACTACACAGTGAGACCCTGTCTCAAAATAACACACACACACACACACACACACACACACACACACACACACCCCACACACACACACAGAAGGAAAGAAAAGACATTCTACATTCTTCCTGGGCATAGTGATACATACACATTCAGCATTCAGGAGGCTGAGGTAGGACTGTCTCAAGTTCAAGCCAGCGCAGGCTACATAAGTGAGTTTATTTATTTATTTATTTTTGGCGGAACCAGGGATTGAACTCAGGCCCTTGTGCTTACCAGGGAAGCACTTATTCCATTGAGCCATCTCCCTGGCCCCAAGTGAGTTTAAAGACAGCCTGAACTACATAATGAGACCCTGTGGCAGAGAAAGGGAGAGAGGGAGAGAAAGAGAGAGACAGAGACAGAGAGACAGAGGGAGAGGAAAGAATACTCCTTCGTAGTGCCAGTCTTTGAGACCAGAGGCTGTCATGCCCAGGATACTCTGGCTATGGGGTAGGAAGGAGCAGAGGCTGCAAGACTCTATTGATGGTGCATTCCATCCCACCTTTTGGGGCCACCTTTTGGTGCATGAGGCACCATCCTCCTCATCCTGCAATCTTCCCTGCCAGCAACCTACCCATCCTCAGAGAGGTGAGAGGGCAGCTGCAGCTGCTACATCTGTTTTTTCCTCAAAATTGATACACTGCCCTTAGTTCTCATGCCTGTCTTAAAAGGAAGCTGATTTAAGCACACTCAAAGTTGCAGGGAACATTAGATAATGCTCTTGATGTACCACATCCTGTAGATGCCGAGAAGCTGGTCACGAACCAAAGCCACAGGCTGGGCCACCTTCCCGGGGAAGGACAGGAAAGGGAGGTCTGCTCTCACCTGGCAGTCATAGAAAGGGTGTCCCCGCCAGCACATCACGTCCAGGACATAGTAGGTCTGGCTCACCTCGTTGTAAATGCAATCTAGGATGGTGTAATCTGCAGAGACAGAGCAGTCAGGATTCTGCTGCCACCTGAGCTTCTGCCACAGCTGAGGGAGGCCCAGAGGACCGCAGTCACAGCAGTGGCCAGCGCCAAGGACAGAGGACTCAGAAGGGAGTGGGGCCTGGCCGCTTGCTGCTGTACCGTGGGGTAGAGCCACAGAGGGATGAAGGTGACCCCTGAGCATCGGGAGAATTTTGAACTTTCAGACAAACTGGGGCACTTACTAATGTTTGAGAAGCTCAGGTCTGAAAGAAAGCAATCTCTTTTATTTACAATTTTTTTTGTTTGTTTGTTAGAGACAAGGTCTCACTATGTTGCCCAGGATGGTCTCGAACCCGGGACTCAAGTAGTCTTCCTTCCTCAGTCCCCCAAGTACTTGTACTAGAAACATGCATTATCATGCCCAGCTTAATTACCTTTTTCATTAGTACATATTATTTGTAGAGATTAATGAGTTCCACTTTTGTGGATTTCACATATGGCAAACTCTGACAAGTTCCATCCCTCCATATGCTCTTGCCCTTCCTTCTTCCCTCCCCTATCCCCTTCCTCTTCTCTAAAAGTCCCTCTTCTGCCATCACATCATCTCTCTATTTCTTAAGATTCTACATATGAGGGAAAACATGATACTTGTCTAACTCTGGCTTATTTCACTTCAAATGATGGTCTCCAGTTTCCTGCAAATACGTGACTGCATTTTTTTTTCTTTTTTTTGATGACCAAGTAACACTTTTCTGTGTCCAACCACATGTTCTTTATTCAGCCACCTGTGGGTGGCCACCGAGGTGGAAGCCATAGTTGAACTAGTGTGCACTGGGCCACAGCACACACAGGGATGCGAGTTATGCTACATGCCGACTTTGGTTCTCCTGCGAAATACAAGCAGTGGTACAGCTGAGTCAAGCACTGCCCTTGTTTGGATTTTTTTCTTTTCTTTCTTTCTTTCTTTCTTTCTTTCTTTCTTTCTTTCTTTCTTTCTTTTTTTTTTTTGTATCAAGAATTGAGCGCAGGACCTTGCACTTCTTTTTTTGTTTGTTTGTTCATTTTGTTGTTGTTGTTGTTGTTTTTGAGACATCATCTTGCTTTGCAGTTCAGGCTGGCCTTGAGCTCACTTTGTAGTCCAGGCTGGCCTCAAACTTGCAACAATCCTCCTGCCTCAGCCTCCTGAGTGCTGGGGTTACAGATATGAGCCACCACGCCTGGCTTCTTCTTTGGATTTTTTTTTTGAGGGGGGTGCTCAGCCCGCCCTGGGGGAGAGGCTGGCACTGCATGTGGTACCTGCGCTTGCCCAAACAGGCACTCAGGTATTTAGAATTTTTTTTTTTTTTTCTTTTTGTATTTTGGGACAGGGTCTACAGGGTCTACAGAGTCTCACTGCATAAATCATAGATGCACTCATAGTGATCTTCCTGTTTACAGCCTCCAAAGCACTGGGATTACAGGTATGCACCACCATGGCCTGGGGGCAGGGCCTGGCACAGCAGGCCCAGGCATAGAACTCCTGGTCCCTGTGTCTGCCTAAGCAGGCACTTTAATCCACTGAGCTACTGGCCAGCCCTAGTTATTTGGATTTTTTTTTTTTTTTTTTTCAGAACCGGGGATTGAACTCAGGTCCTTGTGCTTGCCAGGGAAGCGCTTATTCCACTGAGCCATCTCCCCGGCCCCAGGATTTTTTTTTTTTTAAATCAGCAAAATATATTAATTGAAGGAAAGAAAGCTCCTATCCAAGAGAGGGACTTGAGAGGGGCCCTGAGCAGGTTGTCCTCTATTTGGATTTTTGAGAAATGTCCACACTGATGCCCAAATGGCCGCACATGTTTATAGTCCCATCAACAAGGTATAAGGGTTTGTTCTGCCCCTGCGTCCTCATGCTGCATTTATTGTGTATTCTTTTCTTTCTAGTGGTACTGGGTATTGAACCAAGGACTTCTGTATTGAACTGTACCCCTGACCCTTTTTATTTTGTATTTTGAGACAGGGTCTCGGGGCTGGTGAGATGGCTCAGTGGTCTGAAGCACCTACTTAGAGCAAACAAGCTTAGCAAAGCACAGGGACCGCGGTTCAATCCTCCAGCACCACATGCCAGCCAGCCCCGCCCCCTGGTGGGCTGAGCTGGCCACACACACA